TTCTAAATGGTATTCTCTTCTTATTGCTAAACCTGACAGTCCTTTCTTCTTCTCTTACACTCTACTTTCTAGATAACATTGATTCATAAAAATAAGTATAGATTTTACTATAGTTTACTTGTATTTTTTATTTAATGATTTTATATGATTTTTGTTCGTATAAAGGCTTATAGAATTTTTCAATAGGTGGCATTTGTACATCTGATTTCATTTCACATGTGACTAAAATACATACATATTCTATGTAATTCATATATGGATTGTGAATTTTAAATGTTTATTAAACTGAGAAAACATTACTAAGGAGAAAGGGTAATCAAAAAAAAGGATTCAAAAATGGAATGTGATGACTGACATTGCATTTGATTTTTTAAAGATTATAGTTGACAGTTGAAGAAAGTTCCATAAGTAAGAAATGCCAGAGAAGAAGCTATTAGAATAGAACCTTCAGTTACATTTAGAAATTTCAACATTATTATGAAACCCAGCTGTCAATCTAGTACTGCACTTAAATTGATAAAGGTACTAAAATAGAAATCTCATCAGAACAATTGCCATGAAAATATTTATAGAAGAGATACAGGAAGGCTACATTATGGTTGTGGGAATGTGATTGAAGCTGAAATGCCAGGTCAGGACTGATAACATTGCAGATTCTTCTTTGGATTTTGTCAAGATCAGATGTGGCATCAAAATTCAATGCACAGACAAACAGTAGACTTATAAAGATGCAAGACAGGTTTTGATGAGGAAAATTGTTCAGCACAACACAGTGAACCAACTTCCCTGGCAGCACACCCAGCAATTGATTTAATATAATCATTCCAATTCACAAAAGTTTAAAAGCAAAAATTTTGATCCAGATGACCAAGAACAATCTAGCAGACGTGTAGTCATTGATGATGACTAAATTAAAATGATGATTATAATTAATCCATGTCACATTAATCAGTGAGACACATGGATGTGTGGATCAATAGCAGCTCAAGATCAGAAATTAAAGTTTTAATTCTTGTCAGGTTAATTACATTCACTTAGGCATAAAGAATACTGAGTCATGATCCACCTCTTCTGATTTTTAAAATGCTGCTCATGACACTGTCAGCAATCGCAGATGAACAGGTAAGCCATCAATGACACTACCAGTGACCTCGGTTAACCAACCCAACGCACGTATCAACTCCCTACATCCTCAAGGTCATGTTCCTTGCCCAAAAAGAGGCATTCTCCTTTGATCTTCTATATTGGCAATACAAAAAATTTTATCTTAACGATTTTTGTCTTCATGTCTTTCTGTCTCACCAGGAGTAGTTTGTTATTTTGTTTGTTCTCTCATGCTCACATACATGTTATAATAGTAAAATGACTAAAAAACAGCAGTTTCATTTTAGAGGTGTCAAAATTAAGAAGCCATTTCTTGCCTCAGTAAACAACTGATTGAATTCATTTTTGAGACCAGCAGCCAATTTGACTTTATCAGACTTACCATTAAGATAGGAACAAATATTTGTGTCAACACCACAGATACTAAGTTAAGAACTAATGACATTATGAAAGTCAGTGATAAAAATCGATATTGAGTCAACCCCCCCCCCACGAGGGTGTCCTATGGCACACGGCCTTTTTAACGTGGGCATTCCCAAGCCATTAGGCTCGGCCAAAAAATAGTATGTATATATATATGTAGTCAAGTAATATATGCATACCCTCACACACAGACACACATACACACACACACACATATATATATATATATATTTAGTTGGACTGATGTGAGTTTGTAACACTGGGTTTCACTCTCTAGCTCTATCACTGATATTGAGACTGTGCACTTTCTAATAAGTAGCACGTTTATATACATCGTATTTTACACACATATATATATATATATATATATATATATATATATATATATATATATATATATATATATATATTTAAACATATATTATTAAATATAACAGACAATGAATGTCTCTATTATATCTGATCATGAGCCATTCTAAAGTTTGCTTTAATTTCTGGTGAAAATAAAGACAAAAATTGTCCAACACTCAGATATTTTTTTTAATAAGTTGGTCCTAAGCTTTTGGCTCACATGAGCCATCCACAGAGTGGTTATACAGAAATGAAACAAAGGTATCCACCATCAAAGATAAATGTTTTGTTATTTTGACATAGAAAATTGATATGTAACAATAACGGTCACGGAATAGCAGTGCCAGATTGTAAGTTCAAGATGAGGTTCTATGACATCATACCACGTGATAGACCAAAGTATTACAACAGAACCAATGTCTAGATGCAATGTAATGTGTTGTGACTAGTTTGAAATGTAATTTTGTTGAGTGTGGATTGGTTCATTTTAATGTAGATGGTCTCCAATATATATATACTTATATTTATACATTAAATTTATATGTAAATATGGATATAAATGGTTGGCTGCTTATTTCCAACTTTGCCCTTCTACTTGGTTAGTTAGCTAATCCCTGTTATATTTCTTTCACACTCATAGAGCCAATTTGTGGTTTCTACTGCAACTATGCTGAATGAACTTAGTTACAGTTTCTTGGAAAGGGTGTATAATCTGGCATGATCAGAACAAAGACAGTACACACAAACTCTTAGTAATGATGGCATGGGAAATTTGCGCTAGCATCGATTATCAACAGTTTTCTAACATTTTCAGCAGACCAATTACATGCACAAGGCTTGATTAAACATATGGCAGTGACTTTTGAGTACTTTCAATGAGATCATCTCCCCAGTCCAATATCAAAAAGTCATCTCTTTGACAAATCAATCATGGTGAGATTTGAACTCAGTTCTCATGGTTGGAACACTAACCATCTACTCACTCAGCT